TATATATATATATATATATATTTGTACGCGATACCTGCCCGCGACGCAGAGATTAGGTGGGCAGAGACGGGCGGGCAAGAGCGATTGGAAGAGAAAAAGTATGAGCCCGACCCTGAGGTGGTACCGTCGAACGCGGTGTGGACGGTACGAACGTGTCGGCATGTTGTTGCTTGTTGTTGATTTGTTGATGTTGTTGTTGTTGTTGTTGTTCTTGATGTTGTATCGGTCAATGGCGATGTTGTTATTGTTGATGTTGCTCATGTTGTTGTTGTTCATGTTGTAGTTGTTGTTGTAGATGTTGTTCCTGTTGCTTGTAATTGTCGTCGCCGTTGTTGTGCGTTAATTAATTTTTGTTTTCACACGGCGGATATCTTCCTTCTGACAAAGCGCCTATCTTTTGTTGTTTCTTTTTTTTTGTTTAACTTTTTACTGAGGGGGGGCTTTGCCTTTTTTTTGTAATACTCTACGAGTTTCGTACTGGACAGTCTCGATTCCTCGATCGTCCCTGCGCCCTTCTCTTGTTTTGGAGAGCGGAAGAAAGATCGAGCGCGATCGAGGAGATCCATCACTGCAATGTTCTTTTTTTCTGGGCGGTAGGAGGGAATTCCCTCCCTTGGACACCCAGAAACGAAAAGAGCGATACATAGTAAAGTGTAGGTAGAGGTACATCGCAAGGGTATAGAGTAGAGTACACTTCCATTGAGTGAGATCCAATGCGCAAGGCAAGTTACAAGCCCCGCGTGGTCTCTTTGAGTCACGAATATACACATTGTCGCAAAATTTAATTTAAATTTAAATCGGAAATAATAAAGGAAAGAAAAAAGAATTTTTATATTTGTTTATATTATAATAAATATTTATATTATGATTCACTTTAAAATAAAAGATATAAAAATCATAATATCGTAATATTTTAACAAAAAAATTTGAAAACTGGATAAAAAACAAAATAAAATTTAGAAGGGTAAGAAACAGCATTTTAGAAGTTTAATAATATAAATATGAACATTATAAAAATTCAAAACGCCAATATGGACATTTTAATCTCGAGTAATAATTGAATATCAATGAAAATATCATCACGTTGCATTCTAATTATATTAAAAATTATATTAAAAATTCAAACTATTTCCGTGGAAACAGATAATATAATTAATTTATATCAAGATTAATCATAGTATAATTGTAATAATACATGTAAAAATTTAATACACCGAGATGAGTTTCGAGAAATTCCAACGCGAAGTATTTCGGGACTCAAAGGATTGCGAGTACCTGGATAAAGTGCAGAGTAAAACACACACGCACACGTAATTGGAGTGGAAAAGGGCGGGATGGTGAATAAAGGGGTAGCCAATGAGTGAATGAGCGAATGAGCGAGTGAATGAAACGATCGATGAATCGAGGAGGAGAAAAGGGGATAAGCGATATATTTTTATAGAATATTTAAGAATTTCCTTTTACAACACTTAATTACAGCTCATATTTGAGCGTTGCATTAAATGCTGAACACGGATATCCGATTTTAATATAATTCATTAATGATATTGGCCGAAATTGAGTAAAATGTCAAACAAATAGAACTCGGACAAGTATTTAGAGTCAAATGGTGTTTAAATAGAGGCGATATCACGAAAATCGTGTAAGAAATTGAGTCTTTTTTTAATGATTCCTCAATCGCGAATATTTGTTCATGTTTTGCTCCTTTCCTCATTCGACTTGAGGTATAAGCGTGCATATCAGTCTTGAAAAGAAATATCAGCGTGTAATTGTGAAAGTGCATAAGAATAAGGGAGACATGAAAAGTGAGAAGTCGGTGATATCAAATTGACGAGCATATAAAGTATAAAAACTGTGATCAATAAGATCTTTGTAATTTTAAAAGAGAAAAAATTTAGAGAAATAATTTAAATAAATACAAAATATCTCTTATTCACTAAACGCATTTAATTCTTCGCACTCAATGTGTCATATAAATCATATTTATAGACATAAAAAGTATTATTTTAAAAAATATGGATAAGTGTCAGTCCACAATATATTAAAGATCAAATTATTTTTATATTAATTAAGAATACGAGAATAACAATAAAGCGCTACAACACATTCAAGTACAAAAAATTAAATACATTTCTTAAGTATCTTTCATGTATAACTATCAGAATGTCCCAAAAAAATATGTACTAACTGTAATATTTTATTTTTCCTAACCGATTGATTTTTCTTTAACAAAAATTTAATACATTATATTGATATATTAGAATGAAGACATATAATATACACACGCAAAATTAAAATAAAATTTTATTTAATGTATCTCTTTCCCCAGTTAACAATTTTTTTACATGCAAAATCAGACAAATTTTCGGAGTCATACATTTATAAAAAATTAAAATTGTCCTAAAAACCCAAGTCTTATTTCAAATATTTATAGATCAATTTGTGATAAAAATAAACTGTTAACTCTATATAATTTAATTTTTCAAGATTGTTACAATTAATATTATTGATGAGAATAAATTTATTTAAAAAAAGACTCGCTTGCATTACTAATTTTGTAAAAATTTTTCTTGGGACAATCTATCATATTAATGGAAAATGTATTTGTTTTGTATGACAACGTGGACTAATGTATGTGCACTGAGTATTGATTATACAGAGCTGTGATGACCGCTTTTAAAAAGAGCGGCACTGAAGAGGGAAAATGGATAGTGGCTTGCAGAGAGGAAAAAGGCGCACACACAGACAGCCAAAGAGCCAAGGCGGACAGGCAACAAGATTTCGTCGATCGAAAGACAAACCAACGATAACATTAATAAAACATATTCGAATTTGCATGTTATTTATATTATCTTTAAACGAATAATTGTCATTTTGTTTTAAAGGCTTAAAACTTCTCTGAACTTATTCGGTATACATTGAACTTGCAACAGTTTACAATCAGCGAAATAAAAATTGTTAAAAATAATAAATTTTTATTATTTCAACAATTCAGCATTATAATTGCTAATAAAATAATAATCTTTCTGTAAATATATATTATTCTTCTCATCTCACGTCCACCTTCTTTCAATATTTCTATGATCGTTTCCGAGGAAAATGACAATGTTAATTCCTTAATTCGTCTTATAATTGTTTTAACTGACATTTTAACTGACATGACATTTAAATGGAATAATGCAACAACGATGTAATTTTCTCTCAAATATGTTTTCACTAAATTTTGCTTGTGCAATGAAATTAATGCTTACCGCGTTGAATTTGGAGCACAATCGCCGATTGTTCTTGCGAGCCTCGAAATCTCACTTAAAGCGGACAGGCAATAGAGCAGGCAAGTGTAGAGATCGCGGATCAGGCAAGCGGAGATCACATACAGGCACACATCGCGCACACATATACAAAACATGTACGTTAACACACATACAGCAATGGACAATATCAAGAAAGAGAGAGAGAGAGAGAGAGAGAGAGAGAGAGAAGAAACAGACAACA